CTCAAGCTAATCATTGTTTAAGACGCGTTAGTTTATTATGCAACAATAACGCAGTAGCAGCCAATGGAAAAATATAGCTTGCATATGTATAAACCTTAAACTGAATTAATAAGCCTGTGATAAAAAAATATGAATTCTGAAATTCCAAAATACCGGAAAAATCACTTACAGGTATCAATTGAAATCAAATAGAATTATAATACACAGAGGGTAAGTGTGAGTCAGTAGGGAGAAAAAAGGTCAAAAATTTACCCCAGGTTCCCAATTACATTGCATCGCTTATCAGGTTGACTGAGGTGCCAAAAGAGATGAACTCGGCATGATTCTTGAGGGCGTTGAAATAGTGTACGCTTGCCAAACTCGCGATTACTCGTTTTTGTATTGGTTTTCTTGCCCTCTTTGGTTGATGAACCTGTAAATACCAAAGAAGTTTAAATATTTTAATTAATTTATGAACAGAATGTAATTAACCGAGGAGCATAGCAATAAATGCATGCTCTTTACACTGACATTTAGGCAAGTCTGTCTCATTAAAGCTGCTGTGTGCTGCAGGTTTCTAAACAAGTGGAATAGAGAAAAAGGATGACTACATTTGCATTTTTATTCTTTTCGAGGTTACTGGCTGATGGGCCTGTGGTTTGCTTTTTCACTGGAATTTCTGCTGAAGCATTCTAGCAAAATGTAAGATATTGGTAATCGGCGTTTTTAGACAAAAGGCTAATAATAATATTGCCAGAGTACGCAAGACTCGCTTACTGCACAGGAATCACCACAACTCACTTTTCGGATCGATTTTGAAGAGTAATCAGGGGGATTAACGACCTATATTTGATGAATAAGAGAAATGGGCAGACCTGTGAACTGGAGGTAAGGCTCTCGGTCACTTGCTTATTTATTTCTCCCGTGTTACCTTTATTTGCTCTCTTATAGATGTTGCTAATAAGATGAGTACTACCTGTTTCGCTTTCCGCTCCGCCCTCAGCTGGGCTTTGGTCTTAGGTTCAACTAACGTGTGCTGTTCAGAAGACATGAGCAATATAGTCTAGAAAGAGGCGCCTATATTAAATAGTGTAGTGCTGTAATTTTAATTTAAAAAATTTTATTTTAACATTTTATTAATAAGTGAAATTAATGCCAAAACTTTTTGTTAATCTTTTATACTAAAATTTAATCTGACGCGTTATAAATTTATGTACTTAATATGAGTATATTTCTTAGGTACCACGCTTGATTTGTGCTTTTCTCTACCTCCTGCTTCGCTCACACCTTTGCAATGTCCGTTCGAAAGGAGGAGTTGGCTCAGAAGAAGGCCCGCCTAGAAGCTATTAGACAAGAAAGGCGACTCCGGGAAGAACAAAAAAGAACATATAAAGATCATAACACAGCAGGGATTGAAAATGCGGCTCCCATCAGTGATCTTCGGTCCGAAACAGAGGAAATGCTTAAGACTCTTGGGCTCTCTTCTAGTCCACAGACTGAGGCTGCAATTGAACAAATACACGATTTGAAAAAAAATACCCTGGAAAATCGCAAGTATGGTTATTTTTTAGTGATTCAGGTGGCTTCATTCACACAACAGAAATAAGAAGTTGCAGGTGGCAAGGGTTTATGAGACTTCAATTCCTCCACATGATAACGTTAGTTACTCTAAAGAAACCCAAACGATTGAAGAAATTAGTGGAAACGATTGTGAGTGCAATTTGCCTATTGGGCTAGCCACCTACCTTGCAGTTTATTCTATATATTTCCCTCCATGATCTTATTTAGTATTTTGATTAAGGTTTTTTATAATATATATATTACTGCGCATCATTTGTGTGATAGTCTATGTGAAAATAATCTTTTACTACTAATTATTACTAATCTAGTAAAATTCGCCATTTGCTAATACAAATATCCTTACTAGATAAACTCATGTATCGAAAATTATTCTCGCGCATTTTCACTATAAATATTATCATACATTAAATTTTTTCTCAATTTGGTCCTATAGAAGCACACTATGACTCACCTGATTGGGTGGGGATTTGATCCTTCTATTATACTGTTTTATCATAAAATTCCACTGCTTGTCCTTTTAGGTCACTTTACTATTTTGTGGCTTATCATTTGAGTTCACATTAAGCCAATTTCGGCTTCAATTCGCAATTGGTATGTTCTCTTATCTTGGGACAGATGCACAACCTCTTGTCCTGTCGTGTTTGACTTTTCCCTCTATGCGTCCTTATACTTGTAGTTATAAGCGTCTATTCTGGTCTAATATGTTAGTTGTGCGTTTTATTTTTCATTAGTCAATTTTTGAGCTTTTTTGTTGAACTGAATTCTTTTATGTGCTTAATCTAACTCTTATTGATTTAGCTCGGGCAAAGGACTTCTATGGTAAGCAATCTTCTTAAAATTTAATTTTAATCAATAATCTTACAATATGAGTTACAAAATCGATTATTGTACGTTGTTATGCCATGTGCATAATTATTATATACGAAGAAAAGACATTTTTTGATTAATCTTCTGAGATAACCTTGTGTACGCTTCCGTTTCTTAGGAAAGTGCATGAAGAGATTCGTAGGTCGCTTCCTCCACATGATGATGCCTTATTCCCGTTGTACTGCAGTTGTTTTGCTTTAATACGACGTTCATATTGACGCAGTTTACTAGCCATTCTTCGTTTCATGCCAAAACAAATTGAGCTTTTGCTAATCAGATGACGAAAATAATCATAGTTGGGTCTCATTTTTGCAAATATCTCAGGTTAGCACTGAGATAAGACAAAGCGGCTCTTTCATGCATTGATAGATACTCCTTATGAAAAAAAATAAATATAGATGGATTTAGAAAGGTTTAGGTAATTCTCTTATACTCCTATGCGTATGCGTCAATGTCTGTACTTTAGTATTTCCATCTATATCTAAATGTTTATCTCCTATAGGTATGTATATCATGTAGGAAAGAGCTGGTAAATCTTCTTGACTTAGTATTAACCTGAGAGCTTTGTCAGAATGAGTCTCAGCTCTGATAATGCTTGTCATGTGACCGACGAAAGCTCTGCCCAT